TTTGTTTGTTCGTTTTTGCCATGCTAGGGATGGGACTCAGGACCTTATGATTGCCAGGCAGGCACGTGTGCCACTGAGCTATCTTTCTCCTCAGCCCTTGTTGTTTTTCTTGCTACTATTTGGTTTCGCTATGTGCAGTTTCTTTACAGATGAGTAAATTCGGGGAATCTGGTTTCTGAGAGTTACCCCTCATCTTATTGTCTCGCTATGCAAGAGGAATGTCCCGTTAAGAACTTTTCAGATAAAACAGCACTGACTGTTTTAGTAGTGTGAGATAATTAGTGATAATAATCATTGCTGTTTGTTACTGTTTCGAGCCTCCGTCTTTTTATGGATTCTCCACTGTTGCCCGCCCTATCTCTCCTTATCTCTGTGCCCTGCCCCAGAGCTAGCGGTAGACTCGGAAACCAAGGCCTCGGCTCCGTCCTCCGTAGCCTGTGCTCCCCTTCCCGTCTGTCCTCCTCTCACGTATGCGCCATTGCCTCATCTCTGGTGAGCTTGCCATCGTTCCAGAGAATAGCAAAACACACACATGGCTGTGCGTCCTGGGACTTCCGGCATCTTGCTTATAAGGCGTTTTCCTCTTCCTCTTCCTCCGCCTCCTCCTCCTCTCCCCTCCCCCCTTCCCCTCCTCTTTGCAGAATGGATATAGTAAAATAGTCACTGATTATTGATCAACTGGTGTTAAATCTAAAAGAGACAGTTTGACCCTGACATGTTGGGCGTTTGCTCTGCGTCCTTTGCTGTAGCCCAGGCAGGGCAGAAGAGCTTTCTTTGGTGCGTCATGGTGTTCTTGATGTGGTCGCAGGCATTCTTAGTCTGATGCTCAGCAACCATTGTGAACTCACCAGTCGTACCATTTGTTAAGGAATAATTTAGAAAAAAATAAAACTAATCTGATATACAAAGTACCCAGCTAGAGGGGGCTGGGGAGACAGCTCAGTGGCATAAGCACCTGTCTGGCAAGTGCAAAGTCCTGAGTTCAATCCCTACTACAACAACAACAAAAAAGACCTCCACTTTTCAAAGTACCCAGCTAGAGAGTTATTGTGATTTGCCAGTGTTATAATTTCATACAGTCAGTGTTCTCAAGGATGAATTACAGTTACTTAATGCCAGAGGGCTTTGATTCTGACAACTCTGTCGCTGTGTTCTCCTTTACAGAAACCAGCGAAGGTGTGTCCTTGCGCCTGGGAAACACAAGAGATTTTATTATTTCATTTGACCTCAAGTTCTTGACAAATGGAAGCGTGTCTGTAGTTCTAGAGACCACAGAGAAGAACCAGCTCTTCACTGTCCATTACGTCTCGAACACACAGCTCATTGCCTTTAAGGACAGAGACGTGTACTATGGCATTGGGCCCAGAACTTCATGGAGCACCGTGACCAGGGACCTGGTCACTGACCTCAGGAAAGGAGTGGGCCTTTCCAGCACAAAAGCTGTCAAGCCGACCAGAATAATGCCCAAAAAGGTGGTCAGGTTGATTGCAAAGGGGAAGGGATTCCTGGACAACATCACCATCTCTACCACAGCCCACATGGCCGCGTTCTTCGCTGCTAGTGATTGGCTTGTAAGGAACCAGGATGACAAAGGGGGCTGGCCCATTATGGTGACCCGCAAGTTAGGGGAAGGCTTCAAGTCTTTAGAGCCAGGCTGGTACTCTGCCATGGCCCAGGGGCAAGCCATGTCGACACTGGTCAGGGCATATCTTCTAACAAAAGACCACACATTCCTCAGTTCAGCTTTAAGGGCAACAGCCCCTTACAAGTCTCTGTCCGAGCAGCATGGAGTCAAAGCTGTGTTTATGAATAAACATGACTGGTATGAAGAATATCCAACCACCCCTAGCTCTTTCGTTCTAAATGGCTTTATGTATTCCTTAATTGGGCTGTATGACTTAAAAGAGACTGCAGGGGAAAAGCTTGGCAAAGAAGCGAAGTCCTTGTACGAGCGAGGCATGGACTCCCTCAAAGCCATGCTACCTCTGTACGACACCGGCTCAGGAACCATCTACGACCTCCGCCACTTCATGCTGGGCATCGCGCCCAACCTGGCCCGCTGGGACTACCACACCACCCACATCAACCAGCTGCAGCTGCTCAGCACCATCGACGAGTCCCCCATTTTCAAAGAATTTGTCAGGCGGTGGAAGAGCTACCTTAAAGGCAGCAGGGCAAAGCACAACTAGAGCTCAGCACCAAAACCACACTTGGCCGCCCCCGGACCAACTGAGGGCTCGGCTCTGGGGCGCAGGCACGCTAGGGGGTGTACCGGGCCCTGTGGATGCGAGGGAGGTGGTGAGTGAGCCTTAAAGACGCTCTTCTGAAATGGTTGCATTCCGTGGCTGGCTCTGTAGAATCGTGCAGTCTGGGGGGTTGCGCGGTTGTCCCTCTGCGGCCACACAGGGAGGGGACGGTAAGTGGCTGTGCCTGGCCAGCTGCCTCGCACTTCTGAAAACTTAGTATGGCGCTCTTTTAAAATGTGACTATTTATATTTATATTGAAAGCAGACTTTAAAACAGTGACGCTGTAATACAGTAAATGTGTCCTCGTCGCCTGGGTAGAGGTCTGTACAACTGTTGGAAAACATGTTTCTCTCCTGTAGATGCATTTCTTAGGAGCAGATGAGCATTTGTTGCATTTGTTATATATGGAGAATATTTTGAATTTTTGTTTTTTTTGAAATGTGTAAATTAAAAACACAGTGTTCAGGCTTCACAGTTCTGTAATGTAAGCACAACTTAAAATGCAACTTGCCGGCTGCACAAGAAATTACAGACATGTTGCCTGTTTCGTGAAACTTGATCTACAATCAGTAAGTGTTTGATAATCAATCTGTTCCTTGGTCCCCAAAGTGATGCTTTTTCACTATTGAGAATTTTGTATTTAATTTTTTTTTAATCTCTGAAATTATATTTCACTCTAACAGTACTAGAGACATGGCTATTTGGGTGGATTTCAAATAGCTGGCATTGGGAGAGTTTTGAGTGCGTAAAACTCAACAACAGTGACTTCCTTGCAGACACCACTTATAGTTACAGAAGTGAATAAATAGTTTAAAATAAGAAGTTAACATGTTATCTATAATGTCCAATGAACAAAATAGTATCTTTTCAGATCAGGTATCTTCTATTGTAAAGTCCTTATGTTCCAGTGATGCTTTTGAAACTAGATCTTTTCTTGATACACTAACAGGTCTTCTGAGAGGAACGCCAACGTTTTCCAGTTCAGCATTAGCTTTTCTTAGTTCTCTTCTTATAGGAGGTAACACCTGTCGGCCGGTTGGGAACATATCTTTTCTTAGTTCTCTTCTTATAGGAGGTAACAGCTGTCGGTGGGTCTTGGTGAGGTCATTCTTCATGCTGTTTGAAGGCTGTGGGTTTAATGTAGGAACCAATGAGTGTTGTGTGCGATTAAACCTTCTGTGTAGCCCCAAACTATGATTAAAGTTTCTGACACAAGTAGACTCTCGAACAGGTTCTGTACTAACACTGCTCAACACAGACTTGTTCCGCAGGGTCACCTCCAGAAGTTTGGTACTGACCACTTCTAGCCTCACGTAAGCCTTGGTTAGCTCAGTGAGCAGTGCTTCTTTATCTTTCATTTCTTCAATACGGAGTTGCCTATATTTTTGCAGTTGAGTTGTCCTGAGACTTTGTTTTTGAGATTTTGTTAGAGAGCTCCAATTCCAGTTGTTCAATTGGGAGTTCCATCTCCTTTTTCAGTGCAGCATTTGTATCCTTAGCTGCTGTAACTGATCTTGAGATGCAACTTGTGTCTCTGTAAAGAAATTGGGTTGTTTTAATTTTCCAGCTCTTGCTCTTCCCTCGGTCTCATCTTTGTATTATTGTACTTGGTCATGTTCTGCCACATTTCTGTCTAGTAAATGTTTAGGTGTTCTCTTCCTTGTTCCAACTTCATTGTATTCTCTTCTAGTGTTTCGTAGTTCCTTTTCAGAGATAATAACTCCTGCTGGAGAAACTGATTATCTTCATTTACGTGGAGACGTGTGGAAGGCGGAGTTTCCAGTCCTGCTGCAAGATCATCAAACTTGTGCATTAGCGTATTAAGTACAATAAGCATTTCAGATTTACTGGATGTTGAATCTCCATCAAAACAAAACTCTCCATTTTCCTTCTCTTTTAACATTGTTTTTGTCACTTTAAGAGCATTCTTAAACCCAGTTAGCTCTTTTATTAATTCACTATTTTTCTTCTTTTCTTCATCCAAAGCATATTCCAGAGATTGTTTTAACTTGGGAAGTTTAACTGTCCCTTGTCATCTTTAGACAAATATGCAATTAATAGGTTTTCCTGTCGATGTTTGATTTCCTCTGCTTGCTTTTTTTATATTAACTTTTAAACAGGAATTCTCAAGTTCAGACTTAGTTTTTTCTGCATCTTGTCAGCGTGCAGCATAGCTTCTCCGTATCGCTGCTGCGCTGCTTCCACCTGATCGATTTTTTTCTTAGAGTCTCCAATTCCGTGTCTTCTAAGAAAACTTTCAGCTTGTTTCGCTTCATCTTCTTGATCATATTGTTCTTTTTTTCTTAACAGTACTTCAGCTTTTTCATATAACTGATCAACATTTCCCCTTACGCTTGCCAGGGAAGTGCTTATTCCACTGAGCCATCTCCTGGCCCCTTTGTATGTAATTTTAGAGTATGCGTTGAGAGTTTTATCTACTTTAGGGGGAACATTATATGGAATATTTATCAACATACTGAGTTTGGAAAGAGCCTAGTAATTTTAAGCCCAACCTTATAGGACTTTCCCCTTTAAGGAAAGATGGCAGTTTAAACATCACAGACATGAGTCCTAGCTTTTCCTGCCTAGGTTATTCTTGACTGTCACATTCCAAATCATTGATTCTGTCATGTGTTTTTTTTTTTTCTTTGAAATTAAATTTTAATTTATTATAGCTATTAAATAAAAGAGATGCTACTTAATTTGCTATCCACTTATAATCAGATCTTTGTTTAGGATATATGGACCCTACTGAACCTGATGTAAGTTATCCCTGAGCCTTATGCCAGGGACAATGTCCATCGGGCCTGAGGCACTAAGTTCAAGCCAGCAAGGGCTGGATTTGCTCTGGTTTTTGTTTTAGGGTCTAATAGTGCTCTGAAGTGATGCTGTCACATAGTTTAGAAATGCGAGATCCCACATTTTTGAGGGACCGGTACACGCGCAGCGCATCTCTGACGTCTCTGGCTGTGCCTGGAAGGGCTGGGCGGGTTGCCTGCTGCACAGTAGAGCGGAGTTGAATCCAGCCTACCAAGCACTACTAGAAAATGGAAAATACATCCATAGCTGTATGTGGCGTGTGTGCATCCGGAGGGGCGGCAGCGAGGGCAGCGTACGCTGAAGTCGGTGTTTGGCTGGCCGCGGGGGAGTAAGCTTAAGCTCCCACTCCTGTGATGGCTTCACTTGGCCTGTAATGCAGTCGTGGCTTGCGAGGTTCCCCTTAGCCTTTGAGCTTTGTAGCTTCTACACAGAAGATGTCTCAGCAGCATTTGAATGTCCACCTTTTAGAGTCTCAACAATAAAAATGAGGCCTCCTTGCTTTGGTTTTCAATGCCAATGTTAAACTCTCTCCTGTCCTGGAACCCTTTGGACTTCGTAAACATCACTGCTCTAAGCAGTGAGGATTCTGCTTTGCCTCTGTGTGCTGGTCCTGAGATGAGGGGCATCCGTAGAGCCGGAGCAGTCCTGCTCTCGGGCCACATTCCAGTGCCTTACCAGTGCGGCCATCCCTTCCCACCGAGCGCGGAAAGGCTCTCGACCCAGAAGCGGCCCCGCTGTGTCCTTGCCGCTGGCTGCACACTGCCACCCACACCGCAGCAGCCCCACGGTGTGCCCGTGATCCCAGGAGCTTCAGAGAGAAGGAGCTGAGCCCCTAGCAGTGGTGTCTGAACAGACCAGGGCTTGTCAGGCTATAGGACGCCGCCACGTGTCTGCCGGTTTTTTCAATAGTTATTCTGGGGTTATTTGAGCCCAGCAAGCAGGTGAACCTACACTGTTCTAGCACATAGTGACTGTCGTGGGCGGGCTGAACCCTGCGTGGAACCATGCACCACATGGTGAGTGCCAACAGCATTTCCCAGGGTTCCACATCCTATCAAATGTTTACTTATTTGAAGAATAGGGACGGTATTTTACAGTTCCCATGCTTCTTTGTTTTAAGGTTATAGGTATTGGGTTTTCCCACACACACTTAAGTTAGCTTTAATATTAAATCTGTAGCCACTTCAGTTGCAAAACCAGCCAAAAGTCTCCAGATGAAGGTCAGGCTGACCCTGCAGGAGCTACTGTATATAAAGGCTTCCCCAAGAGCCCCCCGGCGCAGGGAGTGGCTTCTGAACCGACCCAAGCACAATGCTCCGGAAGCAGTGGTCCCTTTCTCTGCTGTGTGCAAACTCACCAAAAGCTGCTATTTCCATCCACCGCTAGCTGTTTTCTTTTTCTTTTTTTTTTAGCTGTTTTCTTTTCCTCCTCGTTGTACATGTGGGTTCTGTACCATGTGTTAAATATGCAATAAAGTGTTTACCGGATGCCCTGCCAAGGGTGGTCCTTTGTAAAGCTGTACAGACTTTGCAGTTTAAGCACAATGTGCACATGTTAGTTTTCTATACAGCAAAACTTGATTTTTTGCAGATGGAAAGGTATTTTGTTCCTATACAAAGTAAATGGATTGTTTGTGCTTAATGTAAAGCTGCTTTATAAAATTGTACAATAAAGTTTTTATCTTAAAGGAAATATGCCTGGATGTTTCTTCTGTAATTATTCTGAGGATATTTGAGCCCAGCAGGGAGATTTCTGGTTTCTGACGGGCGATTGGCATCGGGAGTGGACCCCAGCGGTGTGCGAGATGGATAGTGGTGAGAGCGCCATCCTGTCAGGATGTGAAATCTGGGGGTGGATGTCACTGAAGGGACACAGCTGCAGCTGGGGGGATCAGGGTGTGGGGACGAGGTGGGGAGCGCAGGAGCAGCCTGAGGGAGCGGGGCGCCAGCTCCCCCAGTCACTCACCTGGGCGGCTTCCGTGTAGAGTTAATTCCCTGAGGGTTTGCACGTCCTGTCTGCCCCCCTTTGGATGACCATTCGCTCTGCCCCTTCTTAGGGGCCTGCTGTGAGTTCCCCGGCCCTGCGAGCCAGCCTGTGGCGTCATGGTCTGTCTCACTGCATGGCTTGAGGCCAGCTCACCAGCCCTCTCCTGCTCCAGTGGACAGATGTCAGCGGGCTGCTGGGCGGCTGTTCTTGTCGCCTGTCACTGGGGCAGGGCCGGCAGTCTTCGGCCAGGGTGTGGCTGGCTCCTCCAGCTTTGACTCTGCACTTCGAGCCTCACTTGCTCCCCTGGCCAGCCTGCTTCAGCACCTTGTGCACACAGACCGTCCCCACCTCCGCCCATGGGGATAATTCTCAACAGCTGATTGCTAATGAGTAACAGTGAGGAAGCTGCAGCTTAAATTCTGCATGTCCTGGAGTCTGGACCCCTGTAGCGTTTGCCAGGGCTGCTGTGCTGTGACACCACAGAGCAGGGTGGCCTAAGCTGCAAGCTCGCTTCTCACAGTTCCGCAGGCAGAGGTCAAACTGAGGAGTCTGAAGGACTGGTTACTCCAGAAGCCGCCCCGCCTTGGCTGGCAGGGGTGACCTTGCTTGTCCCACAGGGCTACCCTCTGCTAATGTCTAAGTTCTTACCCCTTCCCAGAGGGACACCTGGGACACACTTGGTTCCTGTGAGCTCACTGTCTGTCACTTCCTCAAAGGCCCCACGCCCAAAGACAGTCAAGTCTGAGACCATGATCAGGACCTGGACACGTGAGTTGGGGGATCACGGCTCATCCCATGCCAGCCTTCACTGAGTGCATGGACACTGGGCCCGCCAGGCTGCCATTTGATTGGATGGTGACTGGCAAAGGCCGAGTCTCAGAGACCTTTGGGACACTGGGAGGAAACCTACAACTTGGCGCTGGTATCAAACGTATTCTTTTACCTCATCAGCTGAGCAAGGGAGTACATGTCTATAATCCTGGCTTTCAGGGGCTGAGACAGGATTGTTGCCTTAAGTGTGAGACCAGTCTGGGCTCCCTGACTGGGAGGCCTCCCTGAACTATATGCCAAGCCAAATTTTAATTGGATAAAATTAGGACACTTCATTTGATCATACAGCAAAACCTTATCCCCCCCACAAAAAAAAAAAAAATTAATAGAGAACTCACATTGAAGCCTTCAGTAACACTAAATTCAAATGGCAACGTTAGCATACGGATAGCAGCAAACTGCTAGACTGTTATTCTCACCTGTTAGCCCATTCTGAATATAGAACTCTCAGGTATTGAAGGCCAAAGAAAACAAAGTATAGAGGATATGAAAATTGCAAATTGTGCTGGGCATGGTGGCATAAGCCTGTAATCCCAGCACTCTGGGAGACTGGGACGGGATGGAGCGCAAAGTTAAACCCAGCCTCGGGGTGTATCTCAGTGCAAAATCCTTGAGTCCACACTCCCAATGCCACACACACACACACCCAAAAAAAAAAAAAAAATTCAAATTGTGAGATTTTGTTTAATGACAGTTTTTCAATTCCAGGTCTCCATTAAGCCAGCTCATTAAGGGTGTCACATGGAAAATAGATGTGAATTTAAATGTGTTGGGGATGAATTCAGGTGTTTGCTTCTCGACTTCTGGTTAAAAGAAATCCATTTGCCATCTGGTACAGATGATTGATAACTCGCGTATGCGCTGCCGCATTTCTTAAACAGCAGCGACGCCGTGTAGTTTCACTAAGCCTCCTCCAGAAGTAGAAGGCTTTTGCAGAATGACAGGCCTAACAAAGCAAGCCATTGCGCGGTAGCTGAGAACGAGGAAGACCATGAAAACATCCTGTGGAGGAGAAGACAGAGCAGCTGCTAATGCCAGGTTGGAAGGGGACTGCCGGGCGGCCAGAGCTGCTGCTTCCGGGCATCAGGAAGAGCTCTGCCCACTGGCCTTCCTGCTGTGAGCACCTACTGAAATCACCGCTGTGACAGTTGAGGAAATCCAGGACTCACCTCTGGGGACCAGAGGAGGAAGTCATTGTCTGGAGCGAGATGAGGCTGAGGGCTCAGTTATCAGCAAACTCCTGACAAGCATGCATGATTTTAAATGATTAAAAAATTATGGTGGGGGAGAGAGCTTGGCACCTGCCTGGCAAGCGCAAGGACCCAGGATCGATCCCAGGCACCACATGCCGCACCCAGTGCACGATGTGCCAACCACTGAAACCAGGCGTGGTGGTGTGGCACACGCCTGTAATTCCAGCGCTGGGGAGGATCACTACAAGTCTGAGCTGCATAGGGAGAGCTGATACCAAATAAATAAATAGTGATACCATAGCCACATGCGGTGGTGCACCCCTGTAATCCCAGCACTTGGGAGGCAGAGGCAGGAGGGTTGCTGAGATTTCAAAGTATTTGGTGAGTTCAAGGCCAGCCTGAACTATATAGCAAGACCCTACCTAAAAAAAAAAAAACTAGAAAAAAATTAAAAATTCAGAGTTCCAGTGGGGCAGGCAGATGAGGAGAGATGTTCACAGAAAACCCACAGTTTGCCCTGCTCCATTCAGTCAGTGTCTAGGCTAAAAGGAATGCTAGAAGAAATGTCCTAGTGTCCTTGGGTCTCAAAGGACAACCTCAGTCCC